ACTGTCTGTCCTGGACGCTGAACCACGAGCCTTTACTTGGCTACGATCTCTATTTGGAGTCTGTACTGTTGTCTGAGAACGCACAGGAGTCTGGGTAGCGGTCCGCTCAGACGAAGCTAGCTGAGGACAATCCTTCCGAAAATGTCCACTAGATCCACAATGAAAACATGCTCCGGTCTTCCTATAACACTCTCCTCTGTGTCGTTTCCCACAAAAGTCACACTGAGGCACTAGAATCGGAACCGAAGAACCACCTCTACTAACAGCTGAAGGTGATGATGTTGTAGGCCTGAAGCGTGTATTGCTCCTCTGAGGGGCTGAAGTACGAGTCCTCTTACCAGACTGTGCGGACGATTCAGTAGGGCCAAAAGATTTCCTAGATCGCTCCTGATCAACACGCTCTCTACCAGAAGCTAACGCCTCCATCTCCTCAGCATCCTTGGCTCTGCCTACCAGCACATCAAAAATCTCATCTTGAAGGGCTACCACCTGCCTACGTAGCTCGTATATGAGTTCGAGGGCAAATTTACGGCATCGATCTCTCTCGGTAGGCACCATACTGATTCCATACTTTAACAATTTCAAGAACTCTATCTCATACTCTGAAACAGTCATGTCACCCTGAACCAAGTCCTGAAACTGCTGTCGTCTCTGGACTAAGTAGCGCTCACCCAAGAATCGGCTCCGAAAACGCTCCTTGAAGAAATCCCATGTCAAACGATCGATAGGAACACTACCGGTCACTGACTCCCACCATGTGTGGGCATTGCCATCTAACATCGCTACTGCCCCCAAATATCTCTTAGTTGAGTCCAAACCCAACTGATCCATGCGTCTTTCTGTATCCTATAGCCAATCTTCTGCTTCAGTAGGAATTCCTCCAAGCTGTCCTCCAAAAGTCCTGACCCCATTAGCAATTAGAGTTTGCGAAATAGGAACCTCAGATACAACACCAGCAGCTCTGACTGCTCCCTGTATCAACTGCAGAAACTGTCTATCAAAAGTCTCATCCAAAGCAACTCCGGTAGATTCTGGCTCAATATCGGTCGCTCCTATGATCGGTGTAGTCATGCCAATACCATCGGTAGGAGGCAGATTCGTTGGGGTCGAAGGAGCAGGATCACCTATCGGAGGTGGGGGATCTACTCGTATCTCATTGATCGGATCTGCAAATCTAGCCACTCGACCTCGTCCACGGCTAGTTCGACGACCACGTCTAGCACTCATTTTTGGTGGATCTCAAGTTTGCTACAGAAGATAAAACTTAGGGTTAGATAAGCACTTGGAGTCTCGAACACAGTTAAAAATTTAATAACTTTGTGACATGACCTTAGTAACTCGTTTTGTAAATATTTCAAAATCGTATTTTCAATTTGGACTCATACACAGTCCGAGGTTTAAAAACCAAAAGCTCTGATACCAATAAATGTAACCCCCTAGACCCGGCCTATGCGTTTCGACTAAGTCTAGTGGATCACATTATGATTCTTTAAGACATTTTTCCGAAACCGTTATTCAAACAATGTAAAATCACATTATAAATGACATGAAATTATAATAAATCATACTATCAAAACCTAACTTGTAAATATAATACCAATAAGTAATAAATTAATTTAAAACATATCTTAAAAATCAAATCACGATAAACCGAATAGTAATAGTAAAAATGTCATCATATTAAAATCCCATACTTTAAAATAAGGTCCATGTCAACAAAATAAAGTCAACTTGCAAGGTAAAAACATTACAATCAGATATACTTCAAGAGATATGTTGATCCTCCAAGTGCTCAATCCAGGGTATCTAACCAACTGTATCTGAAAGGGGAAAAACATTTTCGAAAAGTGAGCTAGGCTCAGTGTGTCCCAATATTACCATAAAATCACTATAGGTACACTAAACATATCATAGTCCAAAAAGTCTCATAAAATTATACTGCAGTAAATCTCTTTAAAAAGTGTTACCCTAAGGGAACATCTTAGGGCCTGGGAGCCTACCCAAGATAGATTTCGGGGCCGTGAGGCCTACCTAAGAACACATCTTAGGGCCGCAGGGCCTACCCGAGAATGATCTCAGGGCCGCAGAGCCTACCTAAGAGTCACATTAGGTCTGTAAAATTTTCCAGCTTGATCAGAGCTGTAATTTATAAATTCGTATTCCAAAAATTCAATTGCACTGTGTTATAAATTCCATAAATCCATAAACATGGTAATCATATACCATTTCAAAACAAATATCAGATAACAGTCATAATCCATAAATCATCACATTAAATCGGTGCATCAACAATACGGTAACCAAAGAATTCAGTGTACCACATATTAAAACAAATAAAACAGTTCAGTAATAAATAGGGAACACACCTCGATAATAGGTTCAAATCGTAGATCTACTGATTGCTGGTTTCACCACGCTCTGCTACAGTTTTCGAACCTAATTTATAGTAACACTATATTACTTATGGGTAACATAAATAAATCTCTAAAATCATAAATTTACGGGTCTTACGGGTGAATACTGGCATACGTGGTTTAACTGATCTAGAAGAGCTGGGTCGAGCTGTTGAACGATCCGGTGAGTCTCGTGCACCTTCAAATAACAATAATTTATCAGCCCCAAATCTTACTTAATTGTTCAAAGCTAAAATTCTTAAGTATCTAAGCATTTTCTGAGTTTGACTATCAATTTGGGGTATTTCGAGTCTGAATTTGGCCAAACGGATTGCGGAATCGGAATCAGGACGTCGAAAAATATAAAGTATGACTTTTCGAAAATCCAAATTCTTGGTCAAAGTCAAAGTCAACCACTTTGACCGTCGATTTGGAGGCCTTCGGATTCGAATTTGATGAAACGGACAGCGGAAACGGATTTGGCACGTCGAAAACTATCAGGATAGGTATACTCGGAAAAGATTAATGGTCGTTTAATGCTCAGTCAAAGCCATTTTAAGTTTTGGTCAAAGGAAGTCAACGGTCAACGGTCAACGGTTGGGTCGGGTCAACAGTCGGGTCGGGTCGGGTCAGTCGGGTCGGGTCAACCCGGTTCAGACCGGTCAAACCGGTTCAAAACTGGTCAAACCGGTTTTCCAGCAGCTCACTCTCCCTGCGGCGGCGCGTGCGGCGCGTGAACAGTGCCACGGTGTCGGAAAATTCCCGGAAAAATTTCTAAAAATTATTTTGAGCGATTTCGAGATACTTACAATGATCGGTTCAAATTTTTGAACGGCGGAGAGCTCGTATTCCCACTCGGTCGAATCTTAGACTGCTCCACCTCCTCACGTGCCGTCGTCAACGGCGAACAAGGTTGACACCGGCGGACTCGCAACGACACAAGAAACACGATGGTGCAGGAGGTGTCGTAAACGGAACAACGATCGGCGGTGAATTTAAGTTTTTCTCGGCGATGGATCTAAAAATAACGTCGAGACTTTGACTGTAAATTCCCGACGTTTGGCAGCGTTTCACTTCAATTAATTTGAAGGGTTTGTTCCTCGCTTGAAGATGAACACAACGGTGGTTTCAAAACAACGATCGGAATTCGGACGGCGTCTGGATCGGGGTTTGAAGTTGGGCGTTCGGGAGAGGATTTGGGCGTGGTTTTCTGTTTGAAACAGAAAACCACGATACAACATATAATACCATCCTTACCTAATTTTTTTGGGTAAATTCAGGGCTTGGTCCTTGAATTTTCTTGAACTCTAAAACAAGCTCCAAGTTTTAAAATCTTTTAATTTAATCCTCACAGTTTACCAATTTTCACAATTAAAGCCTCCAACTTCAATTTAATAATATTCTAATTTTTCTGGGTTGTTACAGTTAGTTTACACAGACTTTCTAAGCTCCCTTTATCACTCTCTCGTTTTTTCTTCTCGAATATATTCATACATACTAAAGCTAATCTACAGATATATTTATAGGTGCAGTAAACCGCCTAATATGCTGCAGATTTTTTTTACTTATGCGGGCTTAATCTTCTTCATAATTTTGTTGTTGTCGCATCATCACTCTATTGCCGCTTCAATTTGTGGCTGCTTCAAATTGTTTAATTGTTAAGCATTAAAGTTGATATTATTTCCTAGCTGCTACCGTACACGTTACTTCATATAATTTCAAACTTTGCTGACATACTAAAAAATCTAGCTTTCATGAATCATACATTGTCTTAAAAGTTATTAAATAATTTGAATTATACTAATAATTGTTTTAGTCACTAAATTTTTAAAAGTTATGAAATGACCATTAAAACAATCAAATTATTATAAAATAGTTATTATTTTTTATGAAATTGTTATAAAATAAGCACCAAATTTTATTAAATTTTTTTAAAATGATTATTAAAGTTATCAAGATTTTTATACATATTGTAATATCATTTTTTAATTTTGTAGACCACAATAGTTATTTGAATACAATTCAATATCTCATATTTTTTCACTATAACTCCAACATCATGTATCCGGAGGATTGCTGAATTTGCCATCATAGTGGGCGCGGGAGTACCGACCCTCTTCTGTATCTCGTGTCTCATGTGCTTCTTTTGCAGCATTTTTGAGTCCCACGCCACACAAAACCACCATAGTCCAGAGCTTAATTCGGAGGTTGCAGCTCAACCGATGATCGTAATTGGTCTCAATAGAGCAACTATGGAATTATATCCAAAAATAGTGACGGGGGAGAGCCGACGACTTCGAAACCCGGCGACGACACTTGCTCAATATGCTTGTCTGAATACTGACCCAAGGAAGCCCTTATGACCATACCCCACAGCCAACATTGTTTCCATGCTGATTTAAAGAAAAGATACATTTTACGTGATAAAATCATAATGTATCATATAAAAATAATACCTCATAAAAATTATTAAGAATTAATATTATAAATTTAATTTCTTAATTCAAAAATTTAACTGATTTAAATTCTCCTTCAGTTGAATATAAAATTTTTCAAAACATTAATTAATTTTTAAAAGTTTGAGGATACAACTCTGAGCTCGAGCGCACAAGATTTGAACCCCCAAAACTACAAATTTTGCCAGCTCTCTCTCTCCCGAACACATCTGAAATCCATCCCTTTCTCTCTCTAGGGTTTCAGATTCTCCTCTTTCTTACTAATCTCCACGTGTTCCAATCTGGACACGATCCTTATTGCCCGGTTCATCGATCCGATCCAATTCTGTTATCCAAGTTTTTTGACGAGAGATCCCCTATCTGTTTGTATAGGTTCATTCGATTTTTGTCGAGATTGCTGCCTTCTCTTTATTGCCTCTCACTTCCATCATTTATCAGCTCAAGAAATGTGTCTATCATTTTGAACACTAAATGTAAGATGTTGATTCCTCTAGTATTTTTTATCTTTTCTTTCTCTCATGCTGATTATGCTCACTATTGTTAGTGGAAATCTCAGCTCAATCGTGTTAGTTTAGCTTTTGCTTCGTATGAAATTGTTCATTAAAAATATATAATTCATTTTGTGTTGGAAACTATTCAGCCTATGTTAATCACGAGAATCATGTGTGTACCTTTTGATTTAATTATCATTTACGTCTCTAGATTTTCTAAGTCAACACTGTTTGTTAATTTTGATTTTATATTGTTTCTGATTTCTTATGCAGCGCTTTCTGTGAGTTTGAAGATCTGGGCATTAGAAGGGGCAATAAGTGAATCATTTTAGGTGGTATGCGGAAGTTGTTTAAGCAGTATAATTGTTCAGACTGCACTTACAAGAAAAATTTTAGCCCCGACAAGGGTACACTTTCGAAGTATTGGAAGGACTTTATATGTCGGTGCTGGATTAACTAGTCAGTGGAACTGGAATCGTGAATTTGGAACAAGTGTAAAGATGATGGTCAATTCAGGTGCAACAGCTAACGGGGGTCCCGTTGTCTATACCTTTCTGAAGAAAGATGGTGATGGTAAATACGTTAAGGGTGGGTGGAGAAGGTAATATGATGATTGTTGATCATATATTATGGTCAATATATCCTTGATTCTCTTAGTAACCATGCAATTAAGTAGATTTCTTTTTTTACCTGCAATCTTTCTCCCTTTCCTTCTTATGTTCAGAAGGTAAAAGCTCTCATCTTCTGCATATGCATGGCATTAGCATTGCATTTGTGTAATTGTTATTTGTATATCTGATGCTATTCCCTAACTTTAGATTTAAACCACACTTACATGGGAGATTTCTTGTTTGATTTGGCAGTGAAGATGGAAAGTTAAGCTGTGGATATTCAAGTTTCAGAGGAAGGAGGGCCACAATGGAAGATTTTTATGATACTAAAACTTCAAAGATTAATGGGCAGACAGTCTGCATGTTTGGGGTCTTTGATGGTTAGGTTCTCTCTTGTTATCTCTTGCCTTTTGGAAGAATATGAAATTAAAGTATTACATATACCATGTAAGACACTATGTAAAAACACATAGAAGGCACTATCGAACATAACAATTGTAGAAGAGCTCTGTCTTCAATGGGATAGTCTTTCCCTGGATATAGGTTTTCACAAGCACAATGCTAATATCGCAACAAGTGGTAAAAGGTGCAAATCTTAAAGTTGGTATGATAATTCTGTGGCTTATAATCTCTGTTGGGGCCATCTGAACATGTGTAATAACCTTGGGGTAGTTTATTGGGAGATGCTTACAACTAAGATAGGGACACCGGCGTCCAAAGTTGCCTGGGTCAAAGATAGACTAACCATTAAATTTTGTTTTTCAGCTTTGTTTTTATTATTTCAGTTTTATCAGAGTAGAAACCATTATAAGATTATGACAATTTATTTGTATTATTTTTGTTTTATATCTAAAAACTGTTCTCAAGAGTGCTCTTGATGAATGATGAGTGTCAACCTATTTATACCATCAGTTATACTGGTGATGCAGTTTTGGATAAGTAATATTTATGTGTGTGTGTGTGGGTTGGGGGGGGGCGAGATGTCTTTCGCATCTGAAATGATGTTTCTTTTTAACCAGTATCATGTTCAATTGCAGGGCATGGTGGTTCTCGTGCTGCTGAGTATTTAAAGCAACACCTTTTTGAGAATCTAATGAAGCATCCAAAGTTCATGACTGACACTAAACTTGCGATAAGTGCGCCAATATCTCTGATATGCAGTTTATGTGGAACATTTGGATTGTTGCATATTCTTTTTGTCAGCACTTTATAGGATCCGTGCATTTACAAGTACTTGTATCTCTTTCTTGTTCTGAGCCTGTAACTTGCATTCTGATGGGATTGTGTCACGCATAAATGATTGTCAATGCATTGGAATTTACTGTTATTCATTTTGGTTCCATTGTATTTACCTGTAGGCGAGACGTACCAACAGACTGATGCAGATTTCTTAGATTCTGTGAGGGATAGTTATCGTGACGATGGTTCAACTGCTTCTACGGCAGTGTTGGTTGGTAGCCATCTATATGTTGCCAATGTTGGAGACTCAAGGACTGTAATTTCCAAGGCTGGAAAAGGTATTCTATGCATGTTCCTACTGCATATGAATGTGTTAGTTTCAAGTGCATATTTTGCCTATATAGTACTTATGGCTTTATTAGAGTAACCTGCACTTGACATGAAAATGAATGTTTAGAATTCTGAACCTGTAATAATACAAAAAAGAAAAGAATTCTGAATTTATAAATGAGGAATCCTAAAAGCAGTTTCTATTTCCTTTCAAGCAATCCCTCTCTCTGAAGATCATAAACCAAACAGAAGTGATGAACGGAAGAGAATCGAAAATGCTGGAGGGGTTGTCATGTGGACAGGTAAAACTGTTTAAAAATTTAGCGTCTTATTGAAGCCGAAACAAATATTTTCCTTTATATCTGGTGGTTAAGTTGGAAATTCATGGTGAAAATTTCTTGTTCATCATGTTACCAGGAACATGGAGAGTAGGAGGTGTGCTAGCCATGTCTCGAGCTTTTGGCAATCGCATGTTGAAGCAGTATGTTGTTGCAGAACCTGAGATTCAGGTGATCCTGAAAATCTTATATAAATTATTAACTTAATTGCTCATGGCATTTAATTTTGCAATTACTTTCTTCCATTTTATTTCCCTGTATTTAACAATAAGGACTCAATTAAGGAATACCCTCCTTTTTACTTTTAACTTGAGTCCTACTCTTGTTGCGCTATCCTATTTTGTCCCTTTATTTGTCTGTGGTAATTCGGCTACAAGTTTTTGAACAACACAATTCATATAGCATCTGATTTCAGGGTGACGGGTAATGATCATCGGATTAATGAAATTTCTATTTCGTAATGTTTTTTTCCTCTCTCAGGATATAGAGATAGATGAAGAGTTTGAGTTGCTTGTGCTTGCTAGTGACGGATTATGGGATGTAGTGCCTAATCAGGTAAGCCTCTCCGACAACTGCATTTAGTTGTGCATGGTCTCCCTTAAATTAAGGATGCCCCGATGGGGGCTTGGGGGACGATCTACCCCTGTAATTTTTAAATTTTCATATAATTTAGTTATTTTTTATATTTTTTATTAGTTATCTAATTTCGTCTCCTAAAATTATTTTATAATTCGTTTCCTGACATAAAATATTTGTTCGATCCCTGTTTATTATCCATCGACATTTCTAGGATGCCATTTCACTGGCTCAAGAGGAAGAAGAACCGGAGGTGGCTGCTATAAAGTTGACAGAAACGGCTTTCACCCGCGGTAGCACCGACAACGTAACATGCATCGTGGTGAGGTTCCACCATGACAAGGCCGCAGCTCTGGTCAATCCCCAAGTATGACTAGAAATTCCCAAATATCATCTCATTTGCACGTGTAGATTTATTGACAATTCCTTTAGTTTCTGAAGAAAAAAAATATGCATGTGCCTTATGGCCAATGTCCATATTCATTGTTTCTTTGTTGAATGGTCGGACTATCTTAGACAAAGTATTTTTGAATTCGGGTCGATTGAACCCAACTCAAATTATTAAATAAATATATATTATTGTATTTGTAATCTAAACTACCTCATTTAGTACTCAATTCTTTTTAGTGTACGTTTAATTTATTAAATGTAAAATTATATTTGGAAATAAGAGTTTTAGAGATAAAAAATATTCATCTAATAAAACCTAATTAATCATACTTTTTCAAAAAATAGAAGTCCAATTATTTCATAATTAAAAAAGATAGTTCATTTGATCTTTTACGTACAATTAATGACCTCAAAAGATATTTAAACCAATATTTTATTAACTTTGTTTAGATATGAAAAACGTTTCATTATTATGAACGGGAAGAGTCTAAAATACTAGTTAATGTAACGTTAAAAATGAAATAAATTGATTACAATCGAAAATGACAAAACTTTCGAGATAATGTTCTGGAAAAAATTAATTCACGAGATAAAGCACTCTCAAGATTAATTGCTCAAATAAGGTGAAATCCACAGTGTTGGCCGTAGGTCGCCATGCACGTCACAACACATTGGCCATCCGAGGCCATCCGACCGAGGCCATCCGACCGAGGCCATCCGAACGAGCTATACGAGGGCATCCGAGGGCAACCGAGCGAGCTATGCGATGGAATCCGAGGGAAGCCGAGCGAGGGTAGGTCGCCCGGAGTGCATGGCGACTTACAAGGTCGCCCGGAGGGCATGGCGACCTATGTGTTGGGACGTGCATGTGCCATGCAACACGTTCATTCTCACGTTCATTCTCTCTGTTTGAGCAAGGGTAGGTCGCCCGGAGTGCATGGCGATCTACGGCCAACACTGTAGATTTCACCATATTTGAGCAATTAATCTTGGGAGTGCATTAGCTCGTGAATTAATTTCTTTCAGAACATTATCTCGAAAGTTTTGCCATCGAAAATATTATTAAGAATTTAATTTTTTAAGATGAATTGAAAATAATATCTTTTTTATAATATTTTTATCCTTAAATTATTCTTATATTAGTTACCACACAACAGAAACATTCTCGTCAATGATGAAACGTTCACCGTTGATAAAGTTAAAATTATGTGAATCTTAATAATTTATTTTTAATTATCGAAAATCAATAAATAGACTCTAAAATTGAATTCACTGTCAAGGTAATAATACAATTATATTCGTCCCGCGGGATAAACATTAAAATTAAAATAAAACATAAAATGACCTAATTAAGATTTTTCCTCTAAATATAAAGGAAATAAGAACTTAGAAAAATTGGAAGAAGATTCTTTTGGTCATCTACTTCGTTATTTTTTTACCTTATTCTGCGTTTGGATTCCAAGAATCTTCTAGCCGAAGACTGAGAGAAAAAACATAAACAGGAAACACCAAAACAATAGATTTTATTATGTTTAAAAGTTGAAAAAGAGAGTTAAATATGATAGAGAAGAAAGGGTCAAGAGTTGAACTTTCCTTCATTTGAACTCCACATTTCGTGTGACCAAAGACCAGTCTCCATGGCTTTATTTACGGTAAAACTTTCTTCATTCAGAATCAATGTCCCTTTATCGTATAATTTCAGGTCACTGCGATTCTCTCTCTCTCTATATATTCATATATATGCACACACGTATACGTAGCTTTGTTGAGTAAGAAGTAAACCGAAAGAAAATCTGGGTCTGGTAGTAATTTCGAATTTTTGGTTTTCATTTATTAATGGAGAATGGAAGGGAAGCGACGGAGTGTGATAAACGAGTTAACTCGGGGACAAGAACTAGCTAGACAACTCCAAGCTCATCTCAATGCGCCTTCTTCTTCTGCTGATGAGCTGCAATGTTCAGTAACAGCAGCAGGAACGATGAGAATGGCGGATTCTTCGACTTCTAAGAAAAGGTATATATTAGTGTGGAGCTTGGACTTGAGTTTTTGTGAGTTGTTTTATCATAATTTATTGATTTCGATTCGAAATTTTTTATGTTGCAGAAAAAGTAGTCAGCCGGCATGGGATGGCACTCCACACGATGCTTTATCCTCCAAATATCCAAGGTTTGCTACAGTATATTTCCATTTCACTTAACCATTTCTCAAGGATTGTTTTAGTTATTAAATTTTTAGAAATTACCAAATTCTTATACAATAATTATTAAATTTTAAAGTAAAATTTATTAAAAATCATTAAATTATACTCAACTGAACATTTTAAATAATCATTAAATTTATCGACATATTATAAAACAATTATTGTAACATTATAATAATTGTAAATAATTCATAAATCTAGTGACAATTTTTGTGACACTTTCATAACTTTAATGATTGTTTTATAATTTTGATAAAATTTAATGTTTATTTTATAATAATTTGATAGATTTAATGATCATTTTATAACAATTTGATAAATTAGATAAAAACTCTCTATTTTTGCAGATGCACACAATGAAGCGTTGGAGGTTGTCGGGCAACAAAGCAAGTACAAAGGACGATGACTCAACGATTTTTTAGATTACATACATCGGAGCCCACACCTGAACTAATCTAATGTCTCCCTCACATGAAAACCACCACCACCTTCCAATTCCATGACGGCTTTGGAACTACTGCACCATAATAACCAGAAACAATCATCACAGGGTCTTCTTATTTGCTTACCAAAACGGCCTTAAAGTGAAAACCCAAGATTTAGATAACATCCATTATTGTCGCCACCAGACGTATACTTCATTCCCTTGCACGTCAACAACGCCCAATGTTGTTTTTTCATCGTCACCTTCTGTGGTCAACAACGATGGTGTCGGAAACCTTTCGCCGTCTAATTTCGTATCGCCTGCTAAATCTAGGACTAACTTAAGTTTTCAAACTCGATATGATCAGACTCAAAATATCCATGATTACGAGGTTATTGAAGGTGCAACTGCTACTTCAGCAACAAGCTCGCCTGCTGCTGGCTTGGATATGCCGTTTGTTAATTCCCAGTTCGATCAAAGCTTTACATTTGACAACGATGGGTACTTTCCCTAGGGACCGTGAGCTTTGTTAATGCCATGAAACTTAGCAAGAGTTTGAATTTACGATACTGTTAGGATTCGGAAACATCACTAATCTTATAGATATAACGAAGACCTCTGTTTTTCAGCCAAATTGGTTCGTATTTGATATCTACTCGGATCGGTTCGGGTTTTTGTAACTTTTCACATTACCTTTAATTAAGAACAAAATTATAACTAAAAATAAATTAATTTTTAAACTTATATTTTATGAATTTAATTATTTAAAAAGATTAAGAAACATTTACACAATGTAAAACTTTTTAATTTTGTACATATTTATGACCGCTGGATGAGTAAAAATAGAAAACAATTACGATTATGGAGATTTGTCAACATTTTCGGATTTAGGACAGTCTCTGTTTGAAAGTTACATTGATTTATCCATACGTTCATTGGAAGAAAACAGCAACATTTGCTTTCTTCTTTCAACCTCCTTTATGTTCACTCAAGTTTTCAAGTGACAGAACAAACATTCATATGCATAGACCTTTCCTTAAAAAAACAGTATATGAAAAAAATTAAAAAGAACACGGGGTTTCCCCTTACACACGACAAAGCTCGTTTAGCCCATGGCATACTTCTGGGTCCAGCTCCTTGCAGTTGTCTCGTACTTGTTCCTGTCCGTCTTGTACATATGAGCAATCTCCGGCACCAATGGATCATCGGGGTTTGGGTCCGTCAGCAAAGAACAGATTGAGAGCAATACCTACAACAGTATATTAAAACGATGAATCGAACAAATCTGATACTCCAATTAAAAAGATTGGGTTTCGTTTTAGGTATTGGGTTGGATTCTGTTACTTTTGCACTGCTACAGATGGTCATCTCTCATCAGGTTTGGCATTGTGATTCATATTCTGAGATGATCAGATTTATTTTCAGGTTGGTGAAATTTTTAGTTGATTTGTATTAGATTTTGGCCATCATGAGGGGTGGCTCAGTCCGGTCAGATAAATTTTTGCAACCCATCAAGATATTTAGAGGATAATCACCTTGGATATTGTCAGCGCAGGACTCCATTGCTCCTTCAAGATGTCTAGGCAAATGCTTCCATTGCTGTTGATATTGGGGTGGAATACCTTTGTCCTAAATGCCACCTGCAATATCATATGATAAATTTTAAGAGACGAGTAAGCATTAAGTACTTCATATCCCTTGTCAACCAATTTAAATTATTACAATATCATTGGTCAGCCAAATAAAAGAAATCTGCCTAGGCAAGAGGAACATCGATTTTCATTTTTCATATATTTTTGGCCATTTCAAGCTCATTGAGAATAATAACCAATCAATAACATTTCGGTTTTCATTCAAGCCAGCGCTTTAAAAGCAAGATGCATTTCAGGTAACATGGTAACAAAGGTTTCAACCATATGCTCATTATATATCACCATTAAAAATCACAATACCTAATTTATTCAAAATTTATAGAAAGTCTATGCTCAAGAGTTGCGGGAGGGGAAAAATTGAAATAGTGTAACATTGCATCTGGATTATAAAGGTAGCTTTTAACATAAACAAAAGTGAATTATCGAACTCTTAAAGCATTGAAACAACAGAGAACTGCTGCATGCACTTCCAAATGTCAGAGTAAACCTACAACAGTGGTCAAGGAAAATCACACATAAAAAATACCTTCGGAGGCTTAAAGGGATAATCTGGAGGAAAATGGATGGTCACCAGGAAAACTCCCCCAGCATAAGGACTGTCTGGTGGACCCATGATTGTTGCCTGCCAGTGAAACATGTCTTCAGCAACTGGACCTGCAACGTCGTCCGATAAACCATTACAAATATGTAAGTAATGTAGTTCAATGATACTCATTGGGCACTTGTACATACTACTACGTACACAACCAACAGAAGAATGAGTGTACCACATTAGAAAATATTTTATGAAATATCGATATCCTTCACTTATCGAGAACCTAGATAATAATTAATAGTCTGAGAAAACAACCGTTCTGCTATTCAGTCACAGTTCTTACTACTTCCAAAAAGCACATGTCAACAAAGGTATCCCTAGGAAGGTAGGCCCAATTAATTAGACAACAAGCCCAGTTTAGGCAAAGCAACCCAACTTGATATCAACTATGGTCATAACCTAAAAAACAGAAAAAGGTTACAAAAAACTAAGGGTGACCCTATGATTCCTGTGTTTGACATATCATATACAGATACAGTTTGAATATCATCTGGCATAATAACGAATATCAAAGTTATCATTTTCCTTCATCTATTATAAGCTGAAAAAGCAAACGATGATGCCATTGCATGATGAAAGCGCTGTCATTATCATCAGTTCATAAAGTGTATAAAATATGTCAATCACCTTTGTCAACATCAACTTAAAACATGATAGGACCAAATACACAAATACAGGTGTCTCAAATAACCTATATAGTTCAGACAGGTTATATAATGAATAATCTGTAACCAAATATGAAAATTAGTGGACTGCTTCCAGTTCAACACAAATTTAATTCATAAAACATTTCATTTAAACATACTGGAACAGTCAAATATTTTTAGTATTAGACTCGACATATTGAAACTAGATGTATTATTATTTGATACACCCCCAATGGAAAAAAGAATTCTACAAGCGGTTTTATTTATTTAATTTTCAAATTATTAAAGATATTTTAAGGACACTCATCATCATCTTAGTACAGTATGTGAAATTACTATTTCACATATCAATTAATAATCCAAACTAGATTTTCCCTTTTCGATGATGGGATTTTTCCCCTTCAAAGTCAACACGATTATGAGGCAAATAATTAAACGAAAATTGCAATCATTTCTGAATAATCGAAATTCGCAAACAAATGTTACTAACGTTTCAACAACTTTTTTAATGAGAAAATCACAGATAGTTACATCAAACAATTTTTTATTTCTCAATTATATCCTAAACATGTAGATCAATAAATCTATAATCTCGTAGTAATATAATATCAAAAAACCATCAATATTTGAACAAAAATGTAAATAAAAACAGCAAACTGATGAATAATTTTAAATATATATAGATTGTTATACCAGCGCTGCAAGATGTAGGAGGATCCTTCTGTAAATCCTTTAATTCCTTCAAGATCCGCTTCGATGCCATTGCGAAACCTGGGATCCATACAGCATAGATAAAAAAAATTAAAAATGCAAAAACAAAAAAGATAATGAAGGAACAATTAAAAGCGATAAACCGTAGAGATCTAACCTGAGCAGATTATCCTCCTATAGAGGGGGCGACTGTTGAATGCCCGAAGGAACTTTGGGTGGGCAAGAGAGCAGAGGTTTTCGATCGAATATATATATAAAGAAAGGGAGCAACAGAATCGGGCGAATTTGTTTTCGACTGTGGTGGCGGTATTTATAGATGGGTGGACCGGCCTCTGTTGAGAGCTTCTGATTGGGTTATTCTCTTGTGGGTCCCGTGAATTGGCGTTCTTCTTACGGGAGTATTTCATTATAATTCTTTTATTTTATTTACGTACTTATACGAATATATATATAAATAAAGGTAAACTATCTAAATTAGATAATTTAATTTTAGAAAATTCATTTTAATCTGTAATTTTTTTTCATTTTGTTCCTTAGTATTCATTGTTAAGGGACACTATTCATGAATTTAAATAGTGATCGTTTTATACAATAATAATAACCTTTTAAATCGTTATTACATAATCGTAATATTCGCAATAACACTTATTTTGTTACATAATCTTAATACAACTAACACAAACGAAAACACGATCATAACTTTAATTTAAATATGTGACACAATTAAATTTATACTATGATTGAATGTTAAACTTTTATATTAAAATCATATATTAATTTAATAATTTCTCAAGTTGGGATAATAATTTTATATAAAATTTAAGTACTAATTTTTAGAAAAGCAATTAACTTTAAGGGTAAAGTACGAAAATGGTTCCTAGTTATAGGATACTATTTTATTGAGTCGTTCGACTATTAAAAGTTATAAAATAGTCCTCTGACTATAACACACTATTTTGTTGAGGTCTCCGACTATTAAAATTTATAAAATAGTCACCTTACTACTCATATGTTTCTATCTCATCTTTTTCGTTAAAAAGTTAACGTCTATCTAAGTTGGACATTAACTTTCTCATTGGGTTCTGATAAAAATCTAATCACATACTGTTTGAGCTATATTTTATGGATCGAGAATCTATTTACATTATATCATCAAGCTGGCGCTTGAAACATTATGTCATTGAGACAGTTCTTAAAAATAATGGTGGTGTTAATAGACATCATTAAAATATGTTTTTATTATATCTCAATCAGCAAGTTAAAATCTAGCTCAAACGAGCATCATTTTATAAAGAAAAGAGATTAGTTTGGAACATATAAAAAATTGAGTGATTATTTTATAACTTTTAATAGTCGGGAACTCGACAAAACCACATCTTATAATCGATGATTATTTTATAACTTTTAATAATCGGGAGACTGTACAGAATAATAACATACAATCGCAGGACCATTTATGTACTTTAACCTAACTTTAAATATCAATTTGTAAAATAACTTTTAAATATTTTATTTCCGAGACCGCGTAGGCGCTTACTTAACAATAGATCCTCATAGAAGAAAAAGCTATGCAAAGGAGACATTTTTCATTTTCCTAATAATTTCCATTTAACAGCTCTATCGCATAGTTCATCCTCTTCGATTATATTCGCAATGGATTATGATTTCAGGAACAGAACAGGTCCGCCGTACGAGGCGCAGATCCCGGTTTACCGACAACAACCCACTTCATCGTCATCATCAACCCATCCGATGTACGGAGCTCCATTATACCCAAGGGTCGGTGGTCAACCCGCCGCTCACAGCGTTCTCCCTACCGCAACCCGCGCCTCTTCTTTCCACCAGACTTCTGCTCCTTCCACATCCTGTAAACTATCTATCCTAAAAAGTTCTATTTTTTACTATTTTTTTTCATTTTCCCTAATTATGTCTTGTGGCAGCTGGATTGGGCATTAGGGTTGCTTTGAAACCAGAGTATCGTATTACTCCTCCGGTAAGTTTTCAGCCGCTTGCTTTTTTGATTTTAATTAGATGGATAAGTTTATCTTATTAATCAATTTGCCATTTTGTTTGCAGCCTCAACTGTCTCCTCAAGTTGCGGATATTCCTCGAAGCAATTTCCAGTTTGATTTCGACTTTGAGAGGAAAATCTTGGCTGAAGCGGAAAAAGAAAGCATGAATTGGAGCAAGCTTGGCTTGGAAAACTTTTCTTCAAAGCCGACCGAAACTACTTCTTCAATGGTACGCTGTTATTCTTATTCCAGCTACAGATTTTAGACCTTCTTTTATATCTTTCATTGAAATTTTAACTTGTCTGTGCGATGGTTTGTCTCAATGATGTTGTTTTGATGGAATTAGTTCATATTTGTTGAGCCTTAAGGGTTTATCTTATATGAAAAAGAACAATGATTTGAATGTGCAGGGTGCAAATTCAGACCATGTGGTGAGCAAATACATTGCCGCTGAACTCAGCCGTGATGCAGTGATGGTTGCGGTTGCAAATTATGGCGACAATCCAACCAAGGTATGTACAATGTTGACATATATTATTGCATCAATGTATTAGGAAAACCTAATGAGTTTACTCGTTATCAGAACCTAGTGCATGGCGTAATTATAGCCACAACATAAAACTTGGTTGGGTCTACCATGAAGTATTCTTTACCTGATTATTTAATTTGTAATGTATGTTAAAGTTGAATTGCTTACTTGATTATAGAATTTGAAAAGCTTGATATTGAGATATATATTCATCGTGAACGGTTAGAATCCTGTCTACCTGCATTTTCTTGACTAGCAGAGAGTAATTTTGGTTTAATGTGGCATACTGGAATGCTCAGCTTCTTTTCAGCTACTCTGTTTTATTTTTCTTTTGGCACCATAAATGTTGTAGGAGAAATTGCTGGTTCTCGTGACCCAGGATGTAGGTACCCTTATTTAATGTTATGGAAGCACGGCATAAGCAGCCTTGTAATGGGGAGAAATAGTCCAATTGCTTTAGCTTGAGTGGTTTCAACAATTCTTCTGGATATTCATCTGGCATTTTCAAAATGTTCATTAAAAATCTTCTTTCTCTTATATCGATATGTTGCTTATTTACTTCCTTAGGTTCGGGAATTTGTCACCGGCTACAACCTACTGCGAGAAATGGGATTCTCAGCAAACAATGTAGCCGAAGCATTACTCATGTATGACAATGACACAGACAAGGCATTGGCACATTTCCTTAACAACGCATCATGAGTATGATATAATCAATTAAATGGTTTTTATGCCAATGAAAACTGGAATGATTTTATACCATTGATTTCCGTGTGTTTTGCTGCATTAAACAGACTGTACAAATAGTCATTCTGTAATATTTGTTGTCTCTAATAAAGGGTATCTCTTTGGTGTTAAATGCATGTCTTTTATTGTTTCCCTAAATCATTGTTCTGGAGAATTTGTATACTGTTCGCCTATCATTTTCCATCGATTTTGAAGGAAAAAATTCCAAACTCAGGGAAACTGAAACAATGATGTCATCAGTTTGATTAATGCTAGAACTTTGCCATCAACTTCATTGTATGTTCGGCTCGAGCCTGATGTATTAATCGAAATGATATCATCTCTAGAATAAATCATGTGATGTTCACTCTCAAATAAAAGAATAAACTTATACAAGTCTAAATTACTAACAAGTAGAAAGAACGAATCATCGAAGCCTCATAAACTACTATGATTAACTCTGGTATAATCTTCAATGTGTCATTTTCAAACTCTATTCTCAACGATTCATCAGATGGAAGTCAAAACAACTACTGCTCAAGCAAGAAGCTCTCTAATCAAACTCTAAGCAGCACTTCTTTACCAAATTCATCAGAGCAAACTGTGATTATTTGAAAATAAATTACATCCTATCACGTAGCATCAGGCTCGTATTTGCTTTCTGGTATCTGAAAATAAATTCAAACCCCGGAACAAATAGCTCCTGAAACCACATCCAAAGAAAACAAAAAACATGCTGTTAGTTACGCCAAGAAAGAGCCAACTTGATCTATTCTATGTTAATTGAACTCAGGTGCGAGCATAGGATACTAATACCCGGTGACTATGCTGATGTTTCAACACAACGCAGGTATGTTAGAGCAACATAGCTTGTTCTTGCAGTAAAGTTTGGATACTAATATCCACATTATTACCATATGCATACCGTCAAATGTGTGCTACTGCAAGAGAGACAGAGATAAAGAGAGAGACCTGTGGACCAAGATGAGCAGCAAACTTCCCTTCATCTACATGTTTGACATCAAGCCCTAAAAACCACGATCCGACACTGACATCATCATGAGCATATGAGCGCAGAAGATTTCTGCAGTAAACAAATTTGGATCAACTTCTTGTTTTATTATGGCGTAAGCAACATGGAATTGTTGCAGCAAAGTGAAGGACAAAACCTGTTTATCGAAATAAATTTAGCCAAGGTGCCTGATATAACGTACATTTCACCAGAAGCATGGCGTAAATATCTGTTGAACACCGAAAAAAAAGAAGAAAAAAGAACTCCATACAAGGAGAACAAATATCAGTACAAGTAAAATAACCAGTATAAGAAACATATTCATTAAGTAATATAGCTTTTACATTTGAAACACATTTCACTAACAGAAGGTTTTGGAACTTAAATTCAGGAGAGAATTAAGTGCCTTTACAACCGACCCGACAACAAGGATCTTGATAGTATAGACAGCTAAATAATGTTGACATATATTGGTCTAGAAGATGAAATCAGTGGCAGCAAAACTCAATATTTTTTATCACCAAACTTCCACCAATCTGGTTCATACCATTTATGGCTCCTGCCAATATCAAGAGGTGCAAGCATGAGAAGAGATAAGGGCTATTCAATTATATATCAAATTCATATATCCTAAATTGTAGACTCAATATTTAAGCCAAACTCACGGTTCTGAAAAAACTTCGCCTGATTTCATACAGCCAATATAAACACGAGGTTTGTTGAGATGAGATGCAAGTGTAGCTCACAAGGCATCTGGAAAACATGAAGTTGTTGATTGTGTTAAAACATGTACTGATTAAATGTTTTATCAATAATGAAACAGATCTTCTAATGGAACTTGTTTATACTTCACTATGATGGAACCAAATCAGGATACTAGAAAGAGTGCAGGTAATGAATTCGATAGCTTTTCGTGTAATGAGCCCACGGTTACCCTTACCATTAGTCACCATCCGCAATCAAGAAATTTAAAAGAACAATCTCTGATATGTTGATATTATGGTATTTGTCAATTAAAATACTATATAAAATTGCAAAATATAGTAACTTAACAAATTTATATATATATATATATATATATATATATATATATATAATTTCCTGAATAAATCATAAAATTATATGTACATTTTAATTTAATGTACAAGCACTGGGTTACTACTTAAGATTCAAATAAATAAATTACAAATTTTAATTTTACCACATAAAATTTAAAAATAAATAGATTCAAGTGTTTTTAGATCAATAACTCTTTTGATATTGAATAAATGTAATAATAATACTTTTTGAGGTTAATTATAATATAATGTTAGGAATCATTAATTAATGTTAGCCTTAGGTACTATTCGTAAAATAAAGTTAGGTATTATTAATTGTAAATAATTTCAAATTAATTACAAACATTGACTTAAAAGTATATTTATAAATGTACGAACCAAACGACCTCAGTGATAAAAGAATTGTTATTATTTCTTAAGGTCTCATGTTCGAGTATTATGAATGTCAAGGGTGTGAGTGTTCAATGTAAAATGATTGAGTTATTTTACCTTTGAGTAGATACTACCTTATATTTATCTCAGAGTAAAAAAAAACTATATATTTATAAATTTATATATAATTCTCGATTTAAAATTTTACATTAATTTAAATTTTATTATATATGGATTTGAGAAGATGAACTAAATCCAAGTCATTAGATTTTATCTTATGCATCCGATTCTAGTGTTCATTATAATTACCGGAAGATAAGGAAAGAACACAACACACGTAATCGTTCATACAAATATACATATGATATTGGATGAACAAAAACATTATTCAGGAAACAATGTTGGGACCAGCTGGTTTCGAGTTACTCTGTATGTTGGGCTTTTGGTCCACAAACATTTGCATATGTCCATTCCATTCTCCCGAGCTTTAGGCCTTTAGGACCCTTTTCTAGTTTTCTTTGATATTATTGGATTAAAATATATAATTGTATATATATATATATATATATATATATAATATTATTATAAAAATAAATGCGTTATATGTGTTATATATATTAAATTTTCATAAAAATAAAATGTAGATACCATAAGTTATATTTTTAATTTAATAAGAAAAAAATTATAAATACTTAAAAATTGATTCAATAATCAATTATATAAAGAGAATATATGGGTCCCTAAAACAAATGTCAACTTATATATTTTTTTCATTCTGTCAACTTATAAAGAGAATATATTGTTGCAAGAGAAAATATGTCTTCTTAGGAAATCAAAATAAAAAAGGTTCGAGGATTTCAACATATCAATGTATTCAAATATGTTTTTATTTAATTTATTATCCTTGATTATATGACATGATAGACCTTGAAATATATAGTTTATATCAATTTGTTAACTTCCTATCATATTTAAGTATACATCAAGTTAAATAGATAATCGAAATAACATAAGGTATCGTAACAAACATTTTTTTAGTTAAGAAGGGAAGAGATGTCCGAAATTAAGCTCAAAATACTTGGGGACTAAAACGGTCTCCTTTGAACATATACTTGGGATGATCAAAATACTCACTCCTATAAGGTTACAATTTTTAAAAAATCATGTTTAGGATGGATTTTGTGCATGAAAGTTTTTGTAGTCGAACCAAATTTAAGATATGCAATTTTGGGTCTGGCTTGATCTAGATGTTTATTATAAATACATCGTTACATATATTAGATATAATTATTATAATTTCTTTCTATATTTTTTTCAATTTTTTTTCTAATATTTTTGAATAAAAATAAAGATAAAATTATTCGTGTCATTTTTAAATTTAGATTGAATAATACATCATCAAATATTAAAATAAGCCGAAACCGATTAAAAGTCTTTAATTTTCAAATTAGACTCCTATAATTAAAAAATTGACTCGTTCAATTTCATATTCAACTGAAAATAAGCATTTTTAGATTAAGAAAAATGTACAGTAGCTTCTAACGTGTAATTTGTCATCATCGATATTTTATGTTATTTAATATATGTACCACTGGCATTTATTTATTTATGTGGTATGGGAAAGACATTATGTCCTTTGAGTTGAGCCAATGGGTCATTTAGCTGTTAGAACGTAAGCATCAAATGGGTGAAGCCATCCATCCAAAAATGGCGGTAATAAATAAAATGTCAAAAAGACAAAACTGTGATGAGTGGATGATGAAACGAAACAAAACAAAACAAAAGTGAAATCAATAATGTTGACTTATGACATAAGAACTTATAAGTTGTTTAGGTTTGTTTAAATCGGAATTAAGTAATAATAAAATTAATAAGTTATATACAATGTAAATTGATCTTACTCCATATATATATATATATAGGGTAAACTACACCATTCCCCACTCAACTATCTTCTCATTCTTATTTTATTCGTTAAAATTTAAAAATTTTCAATTTACTCAATCAATTTTGAACATTGAATTTTCTTTGCCACTCTACCATTTTATCTTCTAACTCTATGATGACATGGCCTTTTTATTAATCTTTAATTTAATTAATATTATTTTTATTCGCCACAACCCCTTTTGCGACTTATCTTTCTTATTCTCGCCTCTGTTATTAACTGGGAGGAAACTCACTTTTCCCCATGACCGTAGAGCTACCCACACTATCAAGATCAAAGGCATTGTTGACTCAAGAAAGCAGAATTAAAAAACCAGAACTTGACGACAGCAAGGGCAAGCCATGCTATGGAACCCTATTTTCATCTCAAGCACCACTATTTATGTTTGACACTTAAACGCTGAGATCACCTGAAATAACCTCAATCAGCTTCAAGTTCTACCATTTCCTCCTTCAATTTCTTTCACACTGGACACAAACAATTATTTGCCACCATTGATAGATAACATGGAAAACATGGTTCTTATTGAAGTTTAATCTTGTACTAGCTTGGATGAAGAAGGTGGAGAAATAACATTGGAGAGCTTACGGAGGTAGCAGAAGGAGTTGAATGAATGGGTTGAATCCCAACAATGTTCCAACTTTGTGTTGTGGGATAATATTATTGAAGGACAAATTGGTGGTGGTGTGGAAGCTATAATATTATTATTACCATCATCTTCATCATCAAATATGGGAACTAGACTT